TTTTCGCTAACTGGTTACAGAATCTGCCTACAAAAATGATATCGTCCGATTCAGCCGGAACAAAAATGCTTCAAACAAGTAACAGTTTCTCTGTAATATGGCCTCGATCCGACATATATACAACATCTTTCATTTGAATCAGTATTAAAAGCTCTATTGGCTCCTACATTCGGGTTTTGATAGGCGATTCTCCCTAGAACCGTTTTTTCCATATTCTTGGCCTATGTGCGCTTTTATTCGAAACCTAAATGTTTCGGTACCGAGTATCGAGAGTATTGGATACTTAAAAGTATTGACTCAGCACGTCACTACTGCTGTAATCTCGACTGTGACGTCAGCAAAACAGCTGATTCTGTCAAGTTCACTGAGAGCCGATTAGCGGTATTGCCATCCTTCTGTATTCTCTCCACCGTGCTAAATGCCTCCAACCATGCCAATACACTACAAGATCATAGGCATAGGTATGATAGAAGAGCTTGCACTTAACCTACCAAATGGCACCTATACGAATAGGAGGGGAAAAACTAAGGAAAGAAAACTTCGATCAGCTGTACTGATCTTTTAAAATATGAATAACCTAACAAAAGTCGCATGTTTCTTCAAGAACGGTTCATGTGCTACAGTTTTATGGAAGAATCAAGTGCGTGACAACGGCAGAAAAAAAAGCAGGATTTTGTAGAAACTTCAAAAAATGTTTACTATCGTGAAAATAAAATTACGCAATATCTATCATGTTTTCGTACTTTAGTTTCTGCTTACTATCTACTTTCTTTGAACTCACAATTAGTAACTTTTGAGTTAAGTGAACTGTGTTAGCACTAAAATACGTTTTCCTCCTGATTTTTGCTTTACGGGAATATTTGAATGTATAGTATGTATGCCCTGCAAACCAAAGTTCCCGAAATCTTAACGAAATCTTTAGGAGTATCTTATTTCTGTAACGATTTTTTTACGAATCTTCAAAGAAAATTATATGAAGGGGTTGACACGAACTCGTAAAGAAACTTCTGTACGAAAAATAAGGAAAATTTTTAAAAAATTCTGCAAGAAATTCTTCACATAGCAGCAATATTTTCATTGCTTTACCAATTTTCTTCCGAAATTTCGTAAAAGAATCGAAGTGTGCACAGTTTATTTCATTTTAGAACATTCGGCAAAAAATCGGATGAGATCTTTACAAATTCTTTAAAATTTCTTTACAACTCAGAATTCTCTGAAAAAATGGTTTGCAGGGTGTATACCCCTTATCATTATGGTAGTGATTGTTATGTCTATATGAAAAACAAAAAAATAAAATGCCACCCCAACAAAGGCAAAGGCTGCCTGCCATTGCGGAGATAGTGCTAATACGAAAATTGTACATACATATATCATGCAAGTATACGTATGTACATACATACATACCTAAATAGACATTTCTAAATTTACAACAACGCTAACCACAGCACTAATGTTATAAAAATCTTTGCTGCGAATTCCCTTCAAATGAAAGGTACACATATGCATGCATGCACATATACTACCTTTCGGGTACCCCGTACCGGTGACAGACATAAATCGCACTGAACTTTGCTATATCCAATAGTATGTAATTGCTTATTTTGTTGGACTCTCTCGCTCTTACGCTTATGAATGTGCGCCCGGTTTAGCTTCACACGCAGTCCCCACCACCTTTCACTCGACCATTCTTCAGCGTCCCGCTCCGCGTGATTTCTGTACCTCTTTTGCCACACTTTACATGTTTGCACGCAACTGTAATAAAAGAAACAACAACTACAACAACAACAGCAGCAGTAACTTATAGAACTAAAATTTACACAACGACAACTAACTCATCAACTTCATTGCCGCACACAGCAACATACATACATATATACACACACACAATAGTAAATAAATAGAAAATTCTCTCCTTTTCTTTCGCGCATTCTCAGCAAGTTTTACCACCCGCCCATAGTCTCGCCACCCCTACCGCTGTTGATGAGAATAGTTTTGCCCTGTTGCCAATTTTCGTTTCGTGAGTTTTTGCTTGTAGTCGAACTCTGGCTGCTACTGCTGCTGCTGCCTGTGCTAGCAGTGCTCTGCTAGGGTTGCTCTATTGTGCTGCTTTTACCGTTGCCATTGTATGAGTGCGCTGTTGCCACTTTTCCAGTTTCCATAAAATTTTATACGAGTACGTACCCGTGTGTAGACATAAACACTAAGGCAATTGCATGCACACAGGCGCAAGTATACACCAATACATTTATCAACATACATAGTACATATCTGTGTTCGTATGGAACAGTAGCTTATGTCGAAAGGCTGGCTTTAGTATAATGCGGCATTCCCTTTATTCTTTAAACGACAAAGAATTTTTTGATGAGACTTAATAAGAATATTGACTTGCTAGTATCGGAGCTATTTCTTGCACGTTTATTTGCCAAAAGTTCTCAACGGCTCACCGCCAGTGAATAATTCGCAATCGTATGCTGCGAATGCCGATTTATACTAAAGCCAGCCT